GAGAGAGAGAGAGAGAGAGAGAGAGGGGACTGATTCGTTGTTTACCCTGCACTGACTAATGGATTCGAAAAATTGTATTTTGCAAACTGCGTTTTAAGTTGTAGCAATACAGGCAATTGCTTTAACTTGGTTAATTATGTCAAATATTGTCTTTTTTCTCTCGGATTCGCAGATGTATGGACAAATTACTATTCATATAACCATAAAAGTATTTTGTATATGATAAAGCAAAGATTATTTGATAAAAGTCAACAATATCTGAGAGGGCTATTAGAAGCCTCACCTAAATGTATTTTATATAAGCACTTAGCAAATCACCATATTCTTCAATACTATTTGACAAAGTGTATTCCTATGAAATACCGAATTTGTTTAATTTAGCTATTGAGACTGGTAGATACAATAACACAACGAGAGAACAAAGACACTGTATGAGCTGCAATTCAGATATAGAAGACGAATATCATTTTACTATAAGTGTTGACAATATCAGCGATCTTCGTAAACTTGCTAGATATATTTTTGAGGCAAATAAGGCACGAGTGACGTAAACATGCATATGTATGTATTATTGGCATTTGTATCATTACGGATTACATGTTGTTGTTGTTGTTAATGTCAGATGAGGATGAGGATGAGGATGAGGATGATGTGAGAGCGTTAATGATTGTTGAATGCACAATAATGAGGTGGGAGTGATAATGAGTGTTGATTGCACAATACATAAATGTATATATCATTTGTAACTTATTGTAAATTGTAGTTATCCAATAAGTTGTTATGATGTTATTATGACCCAAGATATTCTGGTCAATTTATATACAATATAGCTCACTTAGTCACGGTCAGGGCTTCCTTTGGCGTTTTATTATACTTGCTATTTAAAAATTCCATCGCGTTTTGCCCAGACCCGGCGTATCACGGAGGTTTCTATGGAGGTTTTGCCTGGAATCAGCGTACCACGGAGGTTTCTATGGAGGTTCTGCCTGGAATCATCGTACCACGGAGGTTTCTATTGAGCACATGTATATTTCATTCTGTAATCGACAAGTTTTCCACGGATTGTTATATATAATAGTCACTTTCAATTTACATATTGACTTATATATAGGTACAGTAGTGTATTGTGATACTTTGTGTGGAAAAAAAACAAAAACAAAGCGTCGTCGGCAGGATTCGAACCTGCGCGGGGAGACCCCAATAGATTTCTAGTCTATCGCCTTAACCACTCGGCCACGACGACTCCGATAAATGACACCTTCAATATAACTATAAATTCATTTCCTATTATTTTGTTAAGATCCAATATAAAATTATTCACTAATTCATAATATTTCATTTATGTCACTTATTATATTGAATTTATTAGATAAGGTACACCTCAGTATCAACTTACTGAGTTTTACTCCAGACAACACACCTAGCCAGTTGCTATTCGTGGAACAAGCGAGATAACTCGTAATCAAATTATCACTCTGTGTTGAGATATTTTCCTTGGGGACTTTTACACACCGAGAATGTGTGGGAGGTAGTTTACAGAACCGAGTCTCTACTAGAACGCATTGGGGATAGCAAATAATTCAACTGGCTCAACGAATGCACATAAAAGGATCTCGGACTAACGGAAACCCGGACCAGTGACAATATGACCCCATGTCTATTGAACCTTCTGACTATCGGGCCTTCGGACTAAAGAAAATCAGGACCATTGACAACC